GTCGAGAAGCTGAAGAAGGAGCTCCTGGAGAAAGGGAAGGAGCTAGTCCAGAGCAGAGAGGCCGTGGCGAGGGCCGAGGAGGAGCTGGCGGCCCTACGGGTTCTGGCCCAGGAGAAGGGGAAATCCGAGGAGAGCTGGAAGGAGCAGATGTCCCGCTGCCTCCAGGACGCGGAGCGGAAGAACAGCCTCCTCGGCAGCCTGGAGAAGGAGCTGTCCCTCACGCGCCGGCAGCTGCTGGAGAAGGAGGCGGAGAGCAAGGAGATGCGGCGGCTGGCTGTGGCCGAGTCCGAGAAGAGCAAGAAGCTGGAGGAGCGGCTGCGGCTGCTGCAGTCCGAGATGGCCACGGCCGCCTCCCGGGCCGCCGAGCGGTGCTCCACCATGAAGGCCGAGGCCCAGGGCTACCAGAAGCAGGCCGAGGAGCTGCAGGGCTCCTCGGAGGCCCAGAGGAAGGAGCTGAGCGCCCTGGCCAAGCGCGAGGAGGACCTCCGCAAGGAGTTCCGCGCCCTGCAGGAGAAGGCCTTCCAGAAGGAGCAGATCCTGGTGGCCCTGCAGCAGGAGCTGACCGGCGCCCAGGCCACGATCGGGGAGCTGGCGCCCGTCAAGGGCCTCTACCAGCAGCTGCAGGCCGAGCAGGCGGCCCAGAAGAGCCAGCACCAAGAGGAGCTGGAGCGGCTGTCCAAGGACACCGGCGCTTTGCAGGCGGAGCTGGCCCGCACCAAGCAGGAGCTGGCGGAACTGCTTTCTCTGAAGGAGAGGGTCCCCGAGCAGGAGCGCCGCGTGCAGCAGCTGCAGACGGAGAACGCCGGCTACGCGGAGAGCCTGACTGCTCTGCAGCGGGCCCACGCCCAGCTGGCCGAAGAGAAGCGAACTCTGGCCGAGCAGGCCAGCCACGGGCAGCAGCGCCTGGATGCGGAGCTGGCCCAGGCCAAGCAGAGGCACGCCCAGGAGCTGGAGGAGGCCAGGCGGGAGGCGGAGAAGCTGGTGGCCGTCAGCAAGAAGGAGGCTGAGGAGGCCCAGAAGAAGCTGGAGGGGGTGACGGCCAAGTACGAGGAGGCCAGGCAGAAGCTGCTGGTGCAGGTAAGGCCTTTCCCCGGCTCTGTGGGGCTCAGTGGGGCACGGAGGGAGAGGGCATGGGGGGGGGGAGGTGGCTGCTGAGCAGCAGGTGACCTTGGACCAGTCCCACACTCTCAGCCAGACCTGCCTCGCAGGGTCACTGTGAGGCTAAAACAGAGGATGGGGAAAAGGTACACCAGTGCCCTGAGCCTTGTGGTGCTGCAGGGCCTGCGAGGGGGAGGGAAGTTCCCCAGACACAGGCCCTCAGCCTGGCTTAGTCTTACAGTTAGAAGAACACTTGCAGCTGCTTTCTGCTGAATTGGACCCTTGTGGCGCTGCAGGGCCTGTGAGGGGAAGGGAAGTTCCCCAGACACAGGCCCTCAG